GAGGTGGCGGTGCTGGTGCAGCGGGTGGTGAAGGACATCACCAACGCCTTTAGGAGGAACCCGCACATGTGAGTCGCGCCTCTCCTCCGCCACCGGGGGTCGTCGGGGCGGGCTGGAGCGGGACCACGCCTGGAGCCGACCTCGGGCGGCGGGCGGACCGTGGGTTCTGGCCCACGCGCCCTTCCGAGGAAGCTGAGCGAGGTCGGGCGGACCCGTCTGCCCCGGGGGGCCGGCTTTCTGGGTGTCCGGACGCGCTGGCGGGCGAGTCTATTAGAAATGACCTGGAAAATTAAGAAGGATCGACTTTGTTTGACACTCTGTCCCCATCCTTTCCCAGGAGTTCTCGGAACTTGAATGACTTCACCTTTAGGTTCTCAACCTACATGCGTTTAAGGTACATGGGTACACACAGCAGTGTGGCTCTCTGTGTGCTTTGTAGGCACAACTCTTTCAGCTACATCCCCGCTGTTGCTAAGAGGGCTTACCGATCTTCTTATTCTTAACGGGCCAAAACCCCTGTCAGTTTACTAAGTAAAGGTAGTTTGAGGCTGCTTTTGACTTCAGCTTTGCTCATCACAAGATTGTAAAGTGACTCCAATGAAACATTTGGGTTTCGAAGGTTAACAGAGCTTTTTGAAGAGTGAGCCTGTAAGCATAAAGTACTCTGGGATAAAGCTATCAAACCTCGACACTTTTTAGCATGATCTGATTCATAGTTACAAGGAAGCATAGTAACGAATTTTTATCCTAGCACTGCTGCCCTTTTAACCGGACATTACAGGACTGATAGACAAGTTATCTCTTCCTGGAACTTCCTTTCCATTTTGCTTCCAGCACTCTGGGAAGATACCACAAGATTGTACGCGTTCTGACACTTTTCCTTTATTTAACTAGTGAAAAGCAAGCTATTAAAAAGAGTTGTCTACAACATTGTACAAGAGTGAGGGAGAAGCAAGAGTGTAGTTCCTTTTGCATCCCTCCTCATCCCCAGAGAAAGAAACAAAGAATGCAGTTTTGCATTATTTTCACTTTAATTGTTTATGGAGTTTATTTTAAATATTTTATCCTTTAAAATGGAGCACATGAATTATTCTTTTTAAGTGTTCCACCCCTTCAGCTTTTCTGCCTAAAAGAAGTACCAAACCTACATTTTAACAAAGTGTTCTTTTCCTCCAAGGTGATGCTAAAAGAATTAAGAAGCCCTCAGATGTCTTGCTCCCTTGTGGCACACAATTGGACACCTGCAACTGTGCCTCATTAAAAACAAAACACTGCTGACCTCAAAAAACACCTGCCACCTCTGACAGGACACCCTTCCTTTCGTTTATGACTGTTGCCTTTTTCAAAAATCAGTATTTGGAATAACTTCCTGGCAGTAACCATAGTGGTTGCTGGGCTTTGTAAAGAATGCTTTGATGCCTGGTTGCATGTCAGCCTTTCAATCCTTATTTGAAACTGGGAGCTTCAGTACAAATAAGACACACCCTCAAAAACAAGTTGGACTAATGAAGATCCTCTTTTCTCGTCACTGGTGTTATTTTTCTAGAAGAAATTGGAGCAGAATTAGGAGTCTAATAAATACAGTAATCACTTTAGTTTCTCTTTGAGGTAGACTAAATGTATCATTTTCTATTTGAAAAAACAGACTATTTCTGATTGAGTGTTAATGGGTTTGGCAGGTTGACACAATGCAGTTTGGAACTTGTCCCAATTCTTCTGGATCATATTTATCAAAACTCATAAAGGACTTAAACCCTTTAAGTCCTAAAAATACAAACCTTCCCTTCATATTTTTCTGTGAAATGTCATTAAAATATCTTGAACCAGTATGCAACTTAAAATTTTATTAATAAGCATTGGGGTCATTTAGGATTTAAAAGTTAGCGATAAGTTAGGTGTCTGAAATAATTTGAAATAATGGCATGTAACATAGATCTGAGACATTTAAATAGCTTCATTAGCTTATTTAATATTAGCAGCTGTATTTTAGCCCATATTTCTTACAGTAAAAATAACTTCAATAATATTGTAATGCATCTTTTAAAATTTCTTATAATTTGGGTTTTTTTTAATTGCTGGTACCTGTTTCTTTAATTTAGCCATTTTACTTCCTAAATAAGGGGTTATGTATTTATTTTAAAAAGGAAGAATGTTGTTACCTTTAACATCAGTATCTATTTACAATATTTTAAAAGTTTTATTCTTTTTGTTTTCCTTTTTTTTCCGAACACAAGGTAGATTATAATTTTGTTTGTCGACATCTACTCCTTTGAATATATTGACTTTTGCCTACATAGAAATAGCTAATCAGGAATAGTCAAAGGTACAGTAAGTGAGATGTGGATTCATTATCCTCTGTCAGCCTCAGTTTCCTCTTGCTCTTGTAAGGCTAATGAGAACACAAGAAAATCATCTCACATAGTCTTACTTAGTTGCCATTAGGCAAATACTAGACTCAACCTGAATCTCTATGTTCTTTGCTGAAAATATAGTGACCAAATGAATGATGAATATGAAATACTTTATAAAATGGAAAATAACCTAGCAAATTTTGTTTATATTCATTAGTTGACTCTTAGAGAATCCTTATTCATTCTCTGTAACTAAAGGCTTGATCTAGGGATAGGCATTATCCCAACATACAGACCTTATATTAATGTGGAAAACAGCTGTTTACAGTGTAATCAGGGTCACATTAAAGTTATGAATAATAATATTTTTACTGTATTGATTGTTTAACAGTTTTGAGGTGCTAAAGGTACCATCTTCACTGTATGGAATAAGAAGATGTATAAAATAATATTTCTTGTACTGAAGGCACTCAGAAATTTCTGATGATGAAAATGTTCTGTATCTGTGCCATACTAGCCATATGTAACTGTCAAACACTTGAAATTAGCCTAATGTGAATGAGTAATCAAATTTAAATTTTTTTTTGCTTTAAGTTGATTTATGGCCTCATAAGTCCAGTGACTACTGTATTACATGGTCTAGATCTAGCTGAAGGCCTAAGATCCACAGGCTTGAACAGTAAAGTAACCTTGCAAAGCAGTTAACAGTAAAGGCTGTATTAACAGTATGGTAAGTACATACTGTGAGTGTTAGAAGTAGAGGGGAGGCTGGGGGTATCTGGGCTCTTAGGGGAGGTGGATTTTAAGCTAATTGAAGTCTGGTTAGGATTTAGAGTCTCAGGCTAAGATGTTCTAAGAGCAGAGAAATAACCAACAGTAGCAAAATGAGAAGCTACTGAAGAGACAGATCATGAAAGTCTTTAGCTGTCAGGTTGAATTTATTTCATTCCATTCATATGTTCTGCAAAAGAGCACCTCTTTTGACAGACACAGTGCTTGTTTCTGGAGGTAGTAGACTAGGAGTTGGGTGTCAGGCCAGACATGGAATCCTGTCCTTTAGTGGAACTTAAAACAAATCAGTATATACAGATTATGAAAAGAGGCAGAAAGAGTAATTATTAAGAGTGTTTTGAAAGAATAATAACAGGGAGGCCTTACTTAGGTTAGAAGGTCAAGATGCTTCTTTCTGAGAAAATAGTAATTAATAAATTGAAACGAGAGGGATGAAGGATAGTTGGTTTGGGAAAGTATACTTCTAAGCAGATCCTAGTGAAAATCTGTAAGGAAATAGAATGACAGGCACTTTTAAATTGTCTGCCAGTTGAATTGAAGAATAGGAAACCAAAAGATCTAAAGTTTTCTTTTTTTATTGCTGCCAGGGATTGAACTCAGGGGCACTCTATGACTGAGGCACATCCCCAACCCTATTTTGTGTTTTTATTTAGAGCCAGAGTGTCACTGAATTGCTTAGTGCCTCAATTTTGCTGAGGCTGGCTTTGAACTCTCAATCTTCCTGCCCCAGCCTCCCAAGACACTGGGATTACAGGAATGTGCCACCACGCCCGGCCAGGATCTACAATCTTGTGTTAGGATTTTATATTTAAATTTTGTTGAAACAGTAGTATCATTGTAAAAGTTTGGTTATAGGGTTTGAGAGACATTTATTTACTGACTGCATAAACAAGACTGTTTTCTCATTTGTAAAATGAGAATCAATTTTTGCTGTTCAAGATTATTGTGCAGAATAAAAGAAATCATGTAAAACCTAATACAACTTTATAATAAACAATATACAGTAGTCATTTGTGTAGCTTTTTTCTAAGAGCTGTAATGTAATTTTAGTGACATACAAAGCTGATAGTCCAATGAGAAAGTCTGGGAGGTCTCTGAAGTATCTTAATCACTAGTAGAGTTTCAGTTATCAATTGGCAAGAGTCATTAGATATTTCACTATTATTTGGTCTTTGTGGAAAGAACTCCACATTAATAAAAAAGAATAACAGAAACCAAAGTATTATTAGATTAAAAAGGTATGTGCCATTTTTCTGAATACTTAGGCTGTTTTCTGTTCAGTATGCAACATTACAAGGGTTCAGATTTAGTATTTGGAGATTGTCCATTCTTTCTAAGAGGGAAGCTGGTCAATACTTTAGTGAATACTATGTGAATTTATTCTAGTTGACTTATGATGTTTCTGAAGAGTACAGACAAGAAAAACTAAGGGTGGATCAAAGTCAATAGCCATGTTATGTGAACTTTGAACTTCATCAGGAAGCCAGTGGAACCCTTAAGACTATTTTGTGAGGAAATAACCAGAAATGTATTTGATATTTATAGTACATTCATTATAGCCATTAAAATATAATTTAATTATGTAGAAAAACGTTTAATGTGAATTGCTAAGTTTTATTTACAAAGAATTATGTCCAGTATTTCACTTTTAGTAAAATACATAGGGGGAAAAAGGGGCGGGGGTGAGTACCCAGACATTAATATTGGTAGAGAGATGACAGATTGCTTTTAGGTTTTTTGGTTTTTTTTCACACCTTTTCCTTGAATATGAAATTAGAATTTAAGCTGCCAGAACTCTAGAAGGAATTGGTCTAAATGCTATTTTGCTTTTCACTCTACTGCCAGGGGTTTGATCTAAGTATTAGGAGGCCCAGATTCTTAATTTAGCTGCTAGCCTTAGGTAATCCCTTTAACCCCATTGAACTTCAGTTTCCTCATCTGATAAAATGAGACTAGAGGAATGAGGTCCCTTGCAATTTTAGAATGATTCTGGAATCTTGTTCTAAATTGTCTGAAAAAAAGTGGACTATGACCTAAGGGACTAGGCACAGAAGTCTGAAATCAAACTGTTATTTGGAAGCTGACTGACCTGCCTATAAAGTAAATGGTTTTTTTTTTTTTTTAAGAAAACATCAAAATCACTGTATATAAGGGTCAGATAACTTGGCAAAGGCTTAATATTCTTTTCCTCAACTTCTCATTATCTATTAACCAAGGAACTTCACTGGCTGACCTCAGACTCTTAAATGAATTAATGATAACATACTTCATTTTTGCTTAGTACTTGGTAGTTTACCACATTCTTCACATTGTATCACTTTTTTTTTATAACAGGGAAGACATTATTTTCCCTGTATTTCAGATGAAGATCCTGATGTCAAGTGACTTAGCAGATTCACATTAATTGTCATTGGTAGACTAATTACAATCTTGGAATTTCCACCGAGTGCTTTTGTCTGTACATGTTTTCCCTATAGCTTTGCATTTAGTATGATTGTTTTCCGTCTTACATACAAATAGCTGTTTTGGGGATGGGGATGTGGCTCAAGCGGTAGCTCACTCGCCTGGCATGCGTGCGGCCCAGGTTCGATTCTCAGTACCACATACAAAACAAAGATGTTGTGTCTGCCAAAAACTAAAAAATGAATATTAAAAATTCTCTCTCTCTCTCTCTCTCTCTCTCTCTCTCTCTCTCTCTCTCTCTCT